AATTCAGAGACACCTCAAAAGGGGTGATTTCATGGTGCCCTGTAAGTGTTTAATAATGGTTATAATGAAAACAATCGTAATAAAAATGCTTATGAATTGTATCTTCAGAAAACTCATCATTTCAATGATATCTCTTCAATTACAGTAATATTCCTTTAAGATAATCAAAAGCAAGTAGTACTAGTTTTGGGGTAAAACTGATGGACTCAAAGGAAATGTAATAAGCTCTAGTAACGAGGGGGGGGCGAGGGAGAATGAATATGAGAAAGAAGGAGGAAAGGGAGGGAAGGAGAAAAATTTGTCATCAGAATCAGAATTAAATTTCAAGCTCTTTCTCCATCAACAACCCATTACTTGATGCTTAGGGTACTTTCCTCTTTTGGAATGGAAGCCCTTTCCCCCACCAGGCCCACTCATTTTTCAATTTCTTGTAAAGATGTCCTTTATTTAAAATGACCCACTGCCATCATTCTTACTGCTGCCACTCCAGTCACTGAGCTCTCTGCACAGTGCAACTACTACCCTTAAGTGCCAGCCCCGAGAGAGAGCATTAATAGTAGCTCTAAGGTGATGTGGGTTATAAAGGAAGTTGGGTATTAATTATAACACTTGCCATTTAAAAAAAAAAAAAAAAAAAACTTGGTGGTGTGTGTAATTTTACCTCATTTTCTCATTTGCTACTGTTATTTAAATTGCTTCCCAGAACTAAGCATGTGTATAAAAGATGATTGTTCTAAATTTAACCTTTTAAATAAAATGTATTCTGTTAATTAAGTCATTACAGTTCCCTCTCATTTCTATTATGTTTATTCACTTATCTTCCGTCCTAAAGATAGACATCTGTGTCAGTGAATATTTTGGAGAAAGACCCTCAATTTTTATGCCTATCACCCATTTGGATTTTCCACACTGTTTTTAAAAATAGTTTATTTTAGGGATCTAAAGAATTTCAAATTGTCAATTAAAATAATTATAAGCATTCCTACTAGGAATGATAGGCATTATTCAGCCAAAAAGTTAAGAAGTTCCTTGTAACATCTGGCGTTGCTGGGGATTTTCAGTACTTAAAGCAGCTAAGATTAAAAAGGAAAAAAAGACAAAAATTGAACAATATCAAAAGCATTAATTTTATACAAACCCCTTTTTTCAGATTAACTATATGTAATAAGACCATGGGCTCTACAGCGTTTTTCTTTGCCTTTCTGCCACCATAAGATGAATTGGCCAGGTAAACTTGGAGGTAGTACCTGCTGTGGGTGTTCTGTTATTCATGAGATAACACCTAAATTTACCTCATGCATAATGTTATGGTTTGGAAGTGAGTTGTCCGCCTGCAAACTTCTGTTAATGCAGGAATGTTGGGTGAAATAATTGGATTATGAAAGCTGTAACCTAATCAGCCCATCCTAGTTTAAATGGCCTGGGTGGTAACTGCAGGCAGTAGCATGGCGAGAGGAGGTGGGTCACTGGGGGCCTGCCCTGCAGCCCTCCCCCACACCTCTCTGCTTCCTGAACCTAGCATAAGGTGAGCAGTTTTTCTCTGCTGGGGATTGGCCCATGATATATGCTGTTTCATCTTAGGCCCAGAGCAATGGAGTCAGCAGTCTATGGACTGAGGAACCTCTGAAACTTTGAGCCCCAAATAAGTCTCCCCTCCTCTAAGTGGTTTCGTCAGGTCTTTTGGCTGCAGCAGTACAAAAGTTGACTAAAACAGTATGTTCTCAATTATTCACTCTCTATTTCTTTATGATCCTGAGCAGGTGAAATCTTGAACACCACCGCCATCATCAGATTTATTCCCTTACCCCTCACACGGCTTCCATTAGCAAATGTTTTCACGTGTTGACAATTGCACACCTGGCTCCCTATGCTGAGCACTTTTGCACAGTTGTTTTTATTTGGTTCCCACAACTCACTATATATTGTTTGTATCCTCATTCCTCACATGGGCAAACTGAGGTTAAAAGAGCTTAGTACCTTGCCTGGCAGTGCTGATACTCAACCCATATGCATCTCATTATCAGCTACCGTGTTGTTCTGCCTTTCTATCTAGTTTCTCATTAGTGATGATAGTGGCTAATAATTATTAAGTGCTATAGTGTGATCTTTCTAAATGCCTCACATATACTTAAACATTTCATCTTCACCACAAACCTATGGACTAAGAAACATTTTCCTTATGTTATGTACAATGAGACTGAAGCGCAGAAAATTAAAATAATTTTAAAACACTTGTGAAAAATACCATTAAGCCTTTTACAATAACTGCCTAAAACTAGTGAGTTTCTATGACAGGTTCTTAATTTAAGAATATGATTCCTCATCTATAAAATGGGAATAAACAATTTATATTTTTAATTTGATAAACTGATGGTTAACACTTGTTGATATTTATCATTACAAAAAGATTTCTATTAATAGCATATATTCAAATAAAAAAGCTGAGAGTTTTCTAGCATATAGGTGTTTGTTTCCTTATGTTTAATTCATGCTGCTGATCATTGTTAAAATTTCTTAGAAATCTTTGTCTGATTGGTATCAATGTATAATGGTGTAGTTAACAGTACCATTTAATCTCTGTCTCCTCCACTCATGAGGTGTGTGTCAGTTTCTTTATCTGTAATATATGGATAAAATTACTTATCTTTCCAGTCATTGTGAGAGTCAAATTAATTAGTAGATATAAAGTACATAGGACAGAATCTATAAGTGTTTAACAAATATAGTTGCTATTGTTATTTTTAATCTTTATTATCATTGATTTCCAATATTTTTCTCCTTATAATATGGGTTCCACTGGGTTTTTAAGCATGGGGAGGGAAGAATTTGGTTCACCATCAGCACCTCAAAAATACCTCTGACCTACTTCCCAAATGGAAATAAAACAAGAAGTCAGACAGGAGTTTAAGCAGTTAAGAACTGGATAATCATAGATACATGATTTTTCTAGAAATTAAAGAAGTAAAGGAGGGATGGGGGAGGGGGAAGATTATATATGGTGTTTTAACCAGCTTTTTTGCTACTGTGACAAAATGCCTGACCAGAATAATTGTAGAGGAGGAAAAGTTTTTTTGTGGGGCTCATGGTTTTTAGAGGTCTCAGTCCATAGACAGTTGGCTCTATTCCTCGGGGCTAAAGGTAAGGCCATACATCATGGTGGAAGTGTATGGCAGAGAAAATTGGCTCACATGATGAGAGGAAGTAGAGAGAAAGAATCCCCTTGCCAGACACTGTATATATCCCAAAAGCATGTCCCCAAAGACCTACCTCCTCTAGCCACACCCTACCCACCTTCTGTTACCACTCAATCCCATCAGGGGATTAATTTACTAATTTTGGTTAAGGCTCTCATAACCCAATCATTCCTTCTCTAAACCCACTTGCGCTGACAGACACATGAGCATTTGGGGGACACTTAATATCTAAACCATAACATATGGCGACTGTGTCAATTAAATATTATGAATGATACGGTGGATAGAAAAAAGGGACACATGTTACTCTGAGACCAGTCTAGTTAGGAAAAATGGAAGCTGTTCTCCTTGTTAGGAAACTTCCCCTCACTTTTTTATCCACCTTTGCACACAAGAATTTCATAGACTAGCATAGTGGTGCACGGTGAACAAATAAACAGCTGTTGTCAAACATTGAAGTGGCGATCCATGCAAAGCTGCTAAATGACTAAGGACTTTGCCTCTATATTTATGAGGAATATTATCTAGTGGTTTTTATATGATGTCTTTTTCTGATATTAGTACGTTTAATACTAGCTCTATGGGATACGTTGGAAATGTTCCCTCCTTTAAACTTTTTTTGTAGGATTTCTGTAGAGTCAGTATTATTTCTTCCTTACATGTTCAATAGAATTCAGCAGTGAAGCCATTTCAGTCTAGATGGTTTGTGATTGTTTGTTTTTTGGAGAAGTTTTACTTACAAACTCATTTTTAAAATTAGTTATCAGGCTATGCATACATTTATTTCTTCCTTTATAAGCTTTGGTAATCTAGACCCTTCAAAAGTTTATCCATTTCATCTGAGCTATGTTAATTGGGGATTAATTTTCCTCCTATTGAGGCAAAACCCATCTTCATATTCTAACTGACACCCCTGAATTATGAAGCTTTCCACTCTAGCCATTGGGAATAGGCACTGTTCCCTGTTCTGCATGGACTACAGACTGCTTCCTTTCCATTTGGGACAGATTCTTTGAGCTCTTGGGGTTCTTGTCTCATGCACAAGGGATCATCAGTATTCGGCTAAATCCAGGAAGGAATTCTCTGAAGATTTAGAGAGAAATCTGGGTGATTCTCTTCTCTCTGCTTCTCTGTCCTGGACATTCCATCTGCACTGGCATCCCTGGACATCTGCACCATGTCCTCAAGCTAAAGAAGAAAGAAATCACTGGATTCTGCCTCAGTGTCCCCCTCCCTGCACCACCATCTGGAAACCTCTAGAAGCAAGCTGGGGCACTTGTAGGGTTCACCCCATTTGTTTTCCAACTCTTAGGAGTTGCTGTCCTTTATTGCCTGACATCTCATCAGACAAATGCCATGATTTCATGTTTTGTCTAGTTTTTAACTATTTCTAGGGGATTATAAATCTTTTCTCTTTTCCTCCATTTTGACCAGATACACAGGTCCAACCCTTGAGTATTAGATAATACATACATTGCTTTTATGCTCAGAGAGCTTTGTTTGAATTTAGTTTCTCCTCTTATGGTCATGGAAGCAACAACCCAGCTAAAAGAACTGAAAGTATTGGAAGTCTTTAAGAATGATGTCATATTCATAGAATATCTAATAAACATATTTCTTCATAGCTGTTTTTCAAATGTCTGTCAATAAAAATGATGTACCCCAGGGTAGGCTGGAAGGGAAATCTTCTGAAATCTTTGCCAGTAAAGATTTAACTTATTATGATTTTCTATTAATTTATTGTTTGTAAAATGCCTGATTTACAAGCAGGTCTAATCCTTGTCTCTTTTACTTTTTTCTCCTCAGTGCCAGATGAAAGCAAAGTTCATTCATTGGCTGGACACCGATCCGGTAAGAAATTCCTCGTATCTGCCTTTCTGTTCCCTTCCTGGAAATCCCTGGCTGTGTTTTAGTAGCAGTTGGAACCTGTTTCTACCCACCAGTCACTGAAAGGCTTTCTAATTAATACATGAGATGTCTCTGACTTCCACGAAGATGAATTATTGCTTGGCTGTGTGCATAGTGGCATAATGCATGCTGACTCAAAATGTTTGAAAGGAAAGAAGAAAGGTTTCCAAAAAAATAATTCTAAAACTCCAAATCTGAAACTGTATGCTAGCTGAGCACTTAAAACAAACAGAACATTGTAAAGAAAACCAAAGAAAGTTCAAAAATTCCTTCCCACACTGACTTTCATATTAAAACAGCAAAAGAGAGTTCCAGAGTAAAAAAAGATGTGCTTTTTTATTTTTTTTTCTTTTATTTTTTATTTCTTTCTCCTCAAAAAAAAATAAAAATAAAAATTAAATTTAAAAATATGCAGTTGCTTGTCATCAAAATGGACTGTGCTAGGGATGATTGTTATCCTATTTTTCTCTCACAAATGAGCTCTCTTTGTTATCTGGGAAGTCCACTTGGGTCTCTTAGGTCTTGGTCTTTCTCTATCATGTGTATGGTATCTTAATATCTACGTTGCCCTTCGTTGTCAAGAAGCCTGCCTTCTCTTCCTGTGCTCTTCCTTTGGCATCATTCATTCACTTAGCGGAAAAATTTAGAGCTGCTAAGCTAGCAAATACCTCAGTAATTCCTTTCTTCTAAGGGTACATGATTTGGGGGGGGGGGGCATCCATTTGACTCTTAGAATTGCCATTCCAAACACAGAAGAGTTATAATATGTTGGCATCCCTCCGTTTCTGAAACAAAGAAGTCTTCCCCATCACTGTCTCTGTGTTTATGTGCCAATTACGTTTTCAGCAGCAAGTCGCCTAGACGCCTCATTACCTCCATCACGTTCCAGGGCAAGATTATGATTTTTTTTTTTCTTTTCTTTCTTTTCCAGATTCTTTAGTAACAACAGCAGGGACGAACTAGTTCACAACTCTTTTGTTTTCCTTTTTTTTCCTCCCATTTTTCCTAATAGAGAATCTAAAAGGTTAGATCACTGTAAAAGAACAGATTTCCATGGAGTGTTAAATTGACACATGCCACATGTTTATATCATCTTCTTCCATTAGATACTACCATTAAATACTTCCATTAAATATTTTTAGGAAACTGGGAAGAAAGTTCTTGTGACCAAGGAACCCCAAGGATAGCCTACATTCTTTTCATTTGAAATACACAGTCCTACATATATTAATAGTCGTCTTACACTTGTTAATACTTGAACACTAAAATCTTTTTGTGTACTGGCATAGGATTCAATGAAAAAACTTGAAGCTGTTTTTAAGCATATTTTATTAGCTTGATTTGTGAAAACGAGCAAATAATCATCTTTCTGCCTAATTCCAGGAAATTGAAACACATTCTAATCTTAGTTGATTTCCAAACAAGTTACTGTTAGTCAGTAATTAAAAGTTATTGTTACTATTTCTGAGATCATTGTTGTCTTAGCATATTGCTGTAATGTTTTAGGTAAACTTAAATGATATCTATATAATATAATATAATATATTAATAAAGAACTATTCTAAGTGCAAACTTGAAACAATAACCTTCCAAATTAAAATAAAAAATTCAAAAGTGGCAAAAATTTACAGCTACCAGTTAGATTTATTGTAAACTAGCCACATAGCACCTTCACTTTCACTGAGAGATAGAAATAGAACCAAACCTCTTTATATTTGATGAACCATGCTATTTAAATACAGTGGATGTTTTAGAGATTTCTGTTACTAATGCACTGCTGTTCCAACATTCCCTATTTTTATTTTTTTATGGACTTTTATATCCTATCACTACATCATTGAGTTTGTCAATGGGTACCTATGAAACTAGTAAAAATACTAAAGAACAGTCGGAAACTTGATAACTTGGATTTAAAATGGCATGTAATGAGGAGAGCTAACAATGACCTAAAATTATATAGTCTAGTATGACATTAAAGGAGAGCATTCTGTAAAACATCAGACACTTTTGAGAAAATATAGAATATCATTATAGAAAAATCTAAGACTAAAATTATAAATTTCTATGCTCCAAGAATATATCCTCCCCCATTTTTTTAAATATTTCTTTATTTTGGAAAATTAGTCTTAAATTATAATGATCCTCAGGAACTTATCCCCTCATATAAAATGCAGATCCTTTATGTATGGATCTGCATACATATACTTATGCAGGGAAATTTTTTCATCTGGCTTTGGTGAGGGGGCACAGAGCAAAGGATCAAGGGTCCTTTTAATTCTGACAACCTCTTTCAGTTACAAAATAATGTTTAAAAGTCACCTAACATATAACTAAACTATCTTCTAAGGTGGTCTGTGATCACTAACAAGTTACCAGGTTGTATTTTACCTTGCAAAGTTCTGATTCTACTTAACTCACCAGTGTTCAAAGGGACCACTGAACTTTTTGTTGCAATTTTCTTTCTTCTTCCCCAAATCTTTAAGTAAAATTCTGTTTTTTCCTAATAATAAAACAGCGCTCTCTCTCTCTTTAATGTTAGAAATGTAGGCAGCTTCAATACAATCTAAGACTATCAGAAAGTTAAACAAATTAAATTGTATGTGCTGACCTAAATCTATCATCCATCTTCTTATTCAGGATGATATTCAACATTTTAATAAATTCATGTGAGTTGAAATTTCTTCTGAGTCAGCTACTTAGTGTGTACAGGGCCATTTTGTGCCAAGTTCCATCTGTTTGTCTGGTTTGGGCACCTCCCAAATTTGTGACAGGGTTTTTGGCACCTTTTCCTTTTTCCTTGGCTTAATCTTTAAGTGGTTTATTCCTTGGAAATCTGATTAAATCAGAGGCCCAGGTAGGATAAATCTTTCTAACATTTTTGGCCCAGAATGTAGTGTTCCTCTCACCCCTTCTGCAATCCACCCAGGATTTTTGAGATTCTTCTAAGATCCTGCTATTGGGCCTTCCCTAACAGTGCATCCCATCTCATTAGACAGCACAGTAATTCTGCTCATAATCTTTTAGGGTCTCCTCCCCAGAAGGGGGACATGTATATCTAGGGAACAGTGGACCCAACACTGGGAAATTAGAATTAAAATACATTTTATTCAGTTTCTTTTAAAAAAATCACAAGTTTAAGTAAGCCTTATTGTATTTCTAGTATTCTTTTGGGAAACCAAAAATGTCTTTACCCTCTTTCCCTGTCTAACTAATTAAACAAATCTTAGAAATGCAGGGAGGGGGGAAAAATAGAGAAAAATATTTTTTAAACAACAAAGCCACTTTTTTAAATGAGTTAAATATTCCAGGGGAACATTAGAAGACACAGAAAATGACATCAAATTTGGCATTTGATTTTTTTTAATTATACTTTGATTTTGGTAATATTCAGAAACAAAATATGCCTGAGAGGGAGTTCAGGCATATTTTTGCTTTCTGTATACTGAACTGGCAACTAAACTAATAGTTCAGTGCTCTTCTAGAGTCAGTCAGTAAGGAGGTATAAATTTTACTTTTTTTTTCTGTGTCATCTTCTTTTTTAGTTGTTTTGATTTACTGCTTGGAACTGTTTTAATATGTATTGACTGTCTGCAGAGATCTTTGCTGACCCAGCTTTTTAAGAGGATGCAGTACTGAAAGAAGCCAGTGAGTTCTTCTTTATGGGCTCTGACATATTAATTAGCAAAATGGACTAAAAAGCTTTCCTATTTCTGTTTTAATTTCTTATATTCTCAAATACCTGTCTATATAGCTGTAAAACAGGCAAGTCTGTGAAAGTAATGGCTGGCAGTAAGTCCAGACCTTTCCTAAGGCAAGTTTATCAATTCATGAGCAAGTACTTATTAACAATCTCAGGGTATATCTACATATGAGGTGCCTTATAGTCACCATGTTTAGTTGATATCCTGACACAGTTTACTGTTGAAGAAATAGAAGCTAAGGGCATTTAAATATTTGATTTCTCAGCTAGTCACTTTTGGGTTAGGATATAAACTCAGATGTTGTGTGGTAGAGGTAGTATTTCGGGGCAATTCATGTTCTACTAGCACCTACCTAAAACCCCAAATCCCAGGAACTGAAAATATAGGAGTCAGACACAGTGCTTACATCTAATTCTAGTTAGAAGTTCACACACACAGAGAGACACAACAAGAAACCTGATAAATTCTTATTTGTCTTTTGTACACTCAGCTAGCTGAAACAGAAATACAATAATTATAAATTTCTACTAGACTCCTGCAATTCAGTGAGTATGTTTGAGAAAGATATCTAATATGGTCATTCTTGCCTTAGTTTTCCTATGTGCATGTACATGTGTATGTATATGTATATATATGTGTGGGTCAAGTTGAGAGACATATGAGAGAGAAAATGTGTGTGTGTTATCTGTACATTACAGTAAACATGCGAGTAATATCTTTCTTCGTAGCAAGCCTGAGAGTTTAATGAGGAAGTTGCTACTTTGGCAGACCTTCCCTTCTTCTTTAAATGCAATGTGTATAAACTTCAAATCTAGACAGTTTAAATGTGGCCTGAGAAGTTTCTGGATCTTTATAAAAGGATAGAACTTTTAAAAACATCCATCATTTTACTATAAGAGCAGCAAGTTGAGTGAAATTTCATAAATTTTATTGTCTTAGTATTCCATGTTTTAATAGAATATCAAAATTAAAATACTTAAATAATGGAATACAAACATTGTTCATTTTTTGTATTTGAGTCTTCTAATTGGTTTTCTATTTTTCACAACTTTATGGTTATTGCATAAATAATAGATATTGCATAAATAGATGAGGAACTACAATTCTATTATTAGTGGTTAGTGGACTTGAACAGTTTCTTCATTGGTTGGTTAAGGTAATACAGCATAAGGATCTGTGTGGACAGACATCCTTCCTGGGTACCCGTTAAGCTTTTGGCATTTCTTATGCTAGAAAAACATT